GCAAAAGGATTGCCCATCCTCCTGGACAGTTTCTTCAGAGACCGTGGTACTGATACTACTTGATTTTGGGGTCTGTCAACATAAGCAACATGAAATGAACAAGCTTCTTGTAGGCAAATTGCTAATCCCAGTTTGATGAACCTCTTCATTTTAACCCCTGAACAATTTGCTTACGTGATTTATAAATATAGGTACAATGGGACCATGTTGCAGGAGTTAGATTTTCACTGCTTAGATCAAGCTTCCTTCACCTTCCCACACTGACATAGATGGTGAGGGTAAAGGGAGACCACAAAGGGGTATTAAGTGGCGTGTGTACCAGTGACCTTAAATTGAAACTGGGCAAACGCACAGGGGGTGCATCTGATTTCTCTCCCATGACTATCCACTAGGAAATTCTGCCCTGCTTTGTATCAGAACTTCTTTCAAAACTAATTAAGATGGTGTGTGGCACTTAATAGGCAGAGACTTATGCTCTCTGGTAGTTCCTCTCTTCTTAAATAACCCAAAGGTCCCTGATGAAGAAGAATTTCTCAGGAAATCTGCAGGAAGAGACTCCTGATCGTGCAGCATATTCACTGAATCGCTCGCTCACTGGGAAAGCTGCCGTGAAATAGCATTGGAGAAGATGAAGTCTGAACTGTTGCTGCTGAAACTGGAGCATTCTCTGTTTTCTTTCCACAGGAGCTGCTTTGTGAATAGACCCAACCATGCCTCTTTGATCCAGTGGCTGCTCATTAGAAGTCCATAGGGAACTGGCAAAGCAGGGAGAGATCTAAGTCTTGAGCAAGTATGAATATGCTTGGCAGTCTACAGTAGGGAGTAAGGAAAATTCAGAGCTAAGTGCCAATGAGGGAGTAACAAAGCCCCTTGCAGCTTACAAGTGAATGTGAGCAGGAAGATCAGAAGACTCAGAAGAGATGCATAGCATTGTAGGGAGAGGCTCAATGCCACAGCAGTACGCAGTTAGGCTGCAATGGCGCTGCAAAGTGAGTTTTTTCAGAGGTAGATAGCAGGTCAAAGGCGTGCCCAGTGGTTAAGTAGAGCTTATCTGCCTGTGCTGTGCTTATCTTGGGTTGCTGCAGTCCAGGGATTTTTCAAGATGAATGGCCAAATGGCATAGTCATGAACAGAGGTCTGGACATGCCCCTAACCATTAGCAGTCAGTCTGCATTGCCTACTTAGACCACAAATTTTATAACTGTTAAAGATAACAGTTACCAGTTATCATGGTGGGACCTGAGGCATCATTGTATTAAACATGAATTTGACAGAAAAATCATTCATAAACAGATATAGATGAAAGATTTCTGGATGGGTGTTCTATTTGCTGAGAAAACACTGATAAAGGACAAGAAAACAAAAACTTTGAAAGTAAAGTCTGACTCCTGTGGCTTCAGCAGTCCTTCTGAGGACAGGGAATCTGGCTTACAGGTCCTGGCAATTGGACATGTGGCCGTTGTCTCACGGTGTGATCCTGAGACAGCTGATCTGGGGGGGAGAGCCAGCCTTATACCTCCTTCCCATTCCCTCTGCAGAATCGTGACCTCAGCCAGCAGGACATGTGGCTACATCTGCCCTCGGTCCGTGTGACCAGATGGTATCTTCCCAACCTATGGCCCAACCACCGGGGCAACATCTGTATGGATACTAATTAGCAAGCCCACAGCCAGATGAAGAAATCAAGGCGGCCAAACACAGCTACCTGGCACATGGCCGTACAGGCAAATATCAAGGCCTGCCAGACAGATTTGTGTAAACACAGATTAACTCATACATCGCCACATGGCTATAAAGCTCTAGCTCTGGTTTTGCATGCTGATACAGAACAATACAAGCCATAAACCAGCTAATTAACCTTGGCAGATAAGAGAGCTGTCATCAACATTTCAGAGCCCTTTTTAAAGGCAGGAAATAACCCTGCATACAAGGGGAGATACTTAGGCACAGAGCAGGGATGTGACTTGCCTGGCATTAGTCAGGAGGCTCGGAACAACCACCTCCTGAACTCACCACACTGCTCATGCCCCTGGGCAGAAAGGCCTAAAGGGCTGTAGGGAGCAGAGCTGGTCGTTCCCTCTTTCACGCTAAAAATTAGCCTCCACCCCCACCCCCTTCTGCGGTGAAAGGGCATTGCTGTACCGATAGCATCACCTTTCAGTTGGGCTACAGCAACAGAGGGACCAAGAATTTATACTCACTTAAAACCCTTGGCTGCCTGTTGTGTGGCTGGAGTTAAATCCCAGTTCCAGTGAGCAATTTTATTCTGTTGAACAAAACTTCTACATCTTTTCTTCTAATTCTTTGAATACTTTTTCCAGTTTCCTGTCTTTAACTGCCACATAACATGGCTATGCATAAATAGTTGCTAATTGTTATTATTGCTGCTTCACAGATGAAAAGTCTGAAGGAAAGGGCAATACAGACACTAAACAGACTCGTCTCAGAATTGGTTTTAGGGCACAAATATCAGTTCTGTTTTCTGCGCTCTATGGTGACACATATCTACACAATCATGAGAGCCACTCATCATGCAGTCAACACGTTCTGCGCACTATAAGGCTGTACCTTATAGCTCTATATGGTAGGGTCTGGTGCTTTCTAATGTGATGGGTTTTGTTTTGTTTTAACAGGAACTAGAGCAAGGAAAAAAAAAAGCACCAAGGCTTTTTAAGTTAAGCAAGCATTCAGATGATGGGAAATGAGAATAGAAACTTTCATTGCTTTCAGTTCAAGCAGGTTCTGTCTCAATAGATTTCAAGCAGTCTTTCCTCCAAGAGGTCAGAAATATTCCAGGATAAGCAGTGCTACTTCTCACCCAGCTCCAAAACCCAGTGATTGCCAAATTACTCTGTTTACCAGAAAGGATGGAGACATCTGTCATAAGGCGGCCACATGTATTTCTCATGTTACTGACTGAGGCATGTTGAATGGCTAGGACTTTTGCTTACTGTCTTAACACCAGCTATTTCTTTAAGAATTTCAGCTCCCATTTTCTGTATCTTGATGCTAGAGACCATCCAGGGCCTTCTGCTTCTGGGCCTGAAGTGCACCTCCTCTGGTTTTGCATTTGTAATACTTTACAGAGGGGCGATAAACGCAGGCATATGTGAAGAGTAACAGCAACAAAAAATCCTGCTTGCCTATGAAGGGTTTATTTAAACCGACCCAAATCCTGAGTAAATTCTGCTTCTGGGAGCAGAAGTGTCAGAACTAGCCATTTAGGCTTTTGTTTTATTATCTGGACAGGATATGGGGCAGTGAATGAGCACACAGAATCCACCAAGAAAGCTCTTGCAGGAAAACTTAACCCTAAATTCCACTCCTGTAAAGATGTTCACTGAAGGCGCAATTTAAAGCAAAATTTAAAATATGCTAGTAGTCTTTTATTAAGATCTCTTATTTGACTTGTGTTTGGAAGGTTCGACAAGGAAGGGGCAGTAAGGGGTCCACTGATATGTAGCAGCAGAATCAAGGAAGAATGGCTTTGAGCTTATGGCTTGGACATGAGACAGAAATTTTACATATCAAAATATGTAGTAAGCGATGACCTTATTTCACTGCTGCAGGTAAAGGGGATTTTTTAGCTTTCACTAATAATCACACAAATTTCTCCTGGGTTTCCTTCATCATTTTTAAAGTTCCCATTTTCTGTTGTAGCAATTTGATTCTTTGACTCTAAAATAGTAGTGTGGCTAACATTGATTTGATCACTGTACTGCTTGAAACTTCATTCTCTGTTTGTACCAACACAATTCCTTCCTGTTTATTTTTATTTGCTGACATTTACAGAAAGGACTTGGTCATTTTCTCTTTCTATAATTAGCAAGGATGAAACCGATAGAGAACTAGTTTTCCTAAGAGCCTAAGGAGGTCCCTTGTAAATCAATTGCTGGTTCTCAGATTCACTAGGGATTTTCTTACAAAATCATACAGTATTTTTTCTACAGAATCTCATCTCACTCGGGATCCGTGACGGGCCTGTTTGGGGATGAATGGACACTTGTTGCAAAAGAGGTTATTGGCATAGGACTCTTGCCCCATATGATGAAGAAAGGCGAGAGTTGTGTAATGAATGAGGATGGGGACTCCAAAAGAGAAATGAAAGTTTCACTGTTAAAGCAGTTGAAATCTATTGTGAAAAATCATAATTTCACCTCGTGTTTGCTGGAAACACCCATGGAAAGCACAGAAACAGTTTTTATGGAAGGTCACTTCCATTTTGTGCTTTTCATGTCTTTTTCTGGCACTGGGTCAAGATCCTGAATTCAGATTTACACAAATGCTGAATACTCACACCTTAATTGAAACACACTTTAAACATCTAATCTGGAAGGTGAGGAAGAAGGCAGCTTCCCCCCCCAAAAAAAATCAGGTCTTTCGGAATCGAAAATCAGTTATCCCAAATTAGCAGATAGTTGGGATAAATTTGTGCTTCTCTGATTCAATTCTCTCTGAAGAGAAATAACAGCTCTGTTATAATTCACAGTGTTTCTGTGAACATGAAAATGAATAAGCACCAAAGATGTCTATGAGAAAATCAATACTTTTTTAAAATGGGTTTTGGATGGTGCACATTAAATAAGGAAAAGGGACACCCACTTCCTGAATACTGCAAATTTTTGTTTGCAGAACACTGATAAGCCATTTTTACTCCTTTGCAGATCATGTAGGGTTATTTGTGCTTGTTGTTAAAATGATGCATGCTAGCCAGGTCTGTCCTTCCAATTCCTGCTCAGTGCCTATTCAGTGAACCAAAATGCAGGCAATCCTGATTTCTCACATAGTTTAGACCAAACATACGGTAAACCTGCTGCATCTCCACCTCCTGATCCCATCCCTTTCAACAGCAAAGGGCTTACAAAAATATTAAGGGCAGAGACAGGAGATTTGGCTACGGGGTCTGGCCTGGCAGGCTGTGCTGACCCCAGTTCCCTTTCTGTAAGCACCACCACCGATCTGAAGCAGCAAAAAAAAAAAAAAAAGATAGCTGTGCCCACCTCAGCCAGAGCAGCAGAGAAGTGATTACAGTTCTTGTGCATCAGGTGGTACGCGTTGCCTTTGTACTCCTTGCCCAGCTCTTCCATAATCTTATCCACGTCCTCTTCTGTGAAGTCTGTAGTGCCCAAGGCAATGGATTCTCTAGTTAAAAACAACACACACAACAGGAAACATGGAAGGATACAGTGAAAACAGTGTTACGTATCCAGGGAAAAGGAAATGATCAGACATTGGCAAGAAGGACAGGCTTAAAACATGGACATGTATGTCTGGGGCTATCAGAGACTCTCACTAACAAAATGGCACAGTAATATCCCCAGCTTATCCACAAAGGTTATATCCAGGTTACAGCACAGGCAACAGCCCCAAGAGCTTCCTGCTCACCACCAGGGAAGTCTCAGCTCTGGGGGTCTGCTCCCACTCTGCCCATTGCCCCTCAGTAGAAACTTCCAGTAGGACAGAGGAGATGATTTTCTCATGATGGAGAAGGTTTCCGTGGGGTGGACCAGGAAGGAGCAGACCGAGAACTTCATGCAGAAACCCATTGCTTCTCTCCATATTCACTCAATAGCGCTCATGGTTCTAAAAGTCTCCAACAACCCTCAACATAAACTGGCAGTCTGGGAAGGTCAAGCCCCACTTGCCATGGGCAGTTCCTTGACCCACAGCCCCACAGTCTGAGCACCTTGAACAACACGTTAATGCAACATCCACTCAGACTGCCCTAGCAGCTGGCCTGTCCCTTGTGACAGAGTAGCAAGAAACACACGAGATGATGACTTCTGGTTCTCTGTGCATTATCCATAAATAGGTGATACTCATAAAAAGACTAGGTTTTGTTTTTTCCCCTGTGCACTGGCTCTGTGTAACACACAGTTACTCCCATTCTTGCTGACAGGTGAAACTAGGAGCACAGAAAACAAAGAAAATGGGAAAAGAGAGCTGCATTCATCTGTAAGTATGCTTTTAAACCCTGCCAAACACAGTTCAGCACTGTTCCCTGTTTGGTGTACACGATCTTTTATCCACCTCCAAAATCCCTGCAGGGCTGCCTTTGAACCAGGATCATGTAAAGGATGCAGTGAGGGTGCTTATGAGGAGAGGGAAAGGGGGACCCAGAGGAAAGGACTTCCCCGCTCCCCCTATACCAATGGCTACCGGGGGGAGAGGGGAAGAGGTAGAAAAGGGCCCTTACTTGAATTTAAAGGTCTCGCCAAGTTCTACCGCGCTGCCAGGTGTGATCTCGAAAATCCCACTGAAAGGATAGGGATGCCCTCCATAGGCAAACTCTGACAAGGAAAGAAACAGACTGTGAGTAATTGAATGAACACGATGTTAGGAAAAAGTCTATGGCAGCTGTCTGCACAGCTCAGCATCAGCACCAAGGGCCGAGCTATTGCCAACATCGGTTTCAGCCAGACTCTGAAAGCCATTTTCTCTGTCTGGTTACCTATCAGCCCGAGGATACCCTCACAGCCTCCCTCCATGCTAACATTACTGCTTTCCCACAGTGCCAGGAAAACTCTCCGAGTCTGTCTCTGTGCCCATCCAGGTGGTTTCCTCGCAGTGGAAAGTTCTGCGGTGGAGACATCTAGAAACACTACAAGAGACTGTCGCTGGTGGTACTGAGCTGGAAGAAGTCTTTTCTAGAGTAGGGAGAAATCAAGTCGTCTTCTTCCAGAGGGATTTACAGGCAGTGACCGGGAATTCTTTGCAGAAAGCCAAGCTGATTGTGCTCTGCTGCCTCAGCACACGAGTTGAGCCAGGAGGTCCCTCCATGTCAGACAGGCCATCTTGCATGGCCCGTGAAACACAGCCTGTAGACCTCATGGTGTCAGGCATGCCATCCCACAAAGCCTGTGAAAACTTCTGTGCTCGAGATGGAACATGGTACCCCAGGGGGTTTAATCTACTGCATGGCACTGGCTAAAAATACCATGAGTGAGCTATCCCAAGTCATTCCCATTTAACGCTGAAGGAGGAAACGGAAAGTCTGTGATGCTAGTCTGTCCTTCACTGCACTACAACTGTTTTCCCAGATCCCCTGACTGCTCCTTTTGCAACGGGTGCTCAAATCAGCTTCAATCCCATCCAGACCATTTCAAGAGTCTTACAAGACATTTTCTTTTCCTTGTAACTCTGCTGTTTCAAAAGAACAGTTTCCAAGATCTGGAAATCCAGATTCCAAGATTTCTAGACCATAGACGTTCATAAAGAATTACTGCAAAATGGATTTACTCTGACACAGAATTAGCACAGACATGCATATGCAGCTTGCAAGACAACTGCTGATCCACCTCTCTCTTCCCCCTTCCCCACGTCTCCCCTTCTCTCTCCCCCTCCTTCACTGCAGAACATATTTCCAACATCGCTTGGTCCCTCCTATCAGCCATCCTGCTACATACCTGCACAAGCTATAGAGGCTGCAGTTACATGCTGAAAATAAGAAGGGCTACATGGTTCATGACAGAACTGCACGAGTTCCTGCTGGACTCCACAATGGACTCTAAAAAGAGAACCGGCTGAGTTTTTCACTCCTCAAAACATTCCTTGCCAAAAGCTAAAAGTTTGAGGTGCTTTTCCATATCAGACTAGCCATACAGTTGTCCCCATGTTCTGCACGTACTGAAAAGGAAATACTTCATACCTCTGCCGTAGATCTCGATGCCAGAGTGGAAGACACCAATCCCCAAGGTGGAGGTGTATTCATTTATCCAGTACTACAGTAAAAGAAAAGCCACATTTGGAAGCATTAGCGGAAAAAAAACACACTATCTTGGTCTAGGATACCTCCCCCATCTCCTGTCCTCAGAGCAGCTTCTCTTAAGGACAAGAGTGATTTTGAAATTATCTTGAGACAAACAAATTGAGACTCCTTACAGACCAACAGAAGTGGGCACTGTGTTTGTACAGCTGACTGGGATTAGGTCTCCAAAAAATGCTCATCTAGTACTTTCCACGTAAGGCATTTCCCTGCATTCCCTGATATAACTGGACCTGAACTTGCATAAATCCAGCTGCTACAGGACATGTGATTATTTGTCTATCTTCTCACTTAAATAGCTGACACTGAGAAAGTTTTACCAATTCACTTGTCTTATCTGATCTTCAAAATTTTGAGTTAAAGAATCCCCAAATATTTTCTGCACACCATTTTACATCACCTCTCAACATCTACTTTTTATTAAGTTGTTTTTAGGCAATGAGATCTTGGAGACAGAGGTCCATTCCTCCCATAGGTCAGAGGAGCACCATTTAGCAGTTATCTATATGACGCTGGTAACTGCTTTGTAGAAAAAAAGAAACTCCGGGCATACCAGTCAACATTTTGCTTAGAGGCACCGTATATTATCAAGCGTCGTTTCCAGAAGGGACGAGGGCTTGCTGCTCCAAAATTAGGTCCAAGGTGACCACAACTTCACCCAAGTCAAAGGCAAGCTTTCAAGAGGAGCTGTTAAGTGACTTCATTGCTCCGGAGTCCAGCACTTCCCTGGTACATTTAGATCAGAGGAATACTGCAGTCCAGTGCATGCAAGCGACACTCCTCCACCAAGCACTGCTCACTGTTTCCACCATACCATGAAGGACAGTGCAGACACCCTAACAAGTCCCAGCTAAGCTAATTCTGGAGCAGGAAACCGTACAGCCATGCCAGGGCAGTGCTGCATTGGAGATAAGGAGCCCTGCTCAGCACCAGTATTTATTAGGTTAGCTGCAGAGCTGTGCTGCTACAGAAATGATGTTTTCAGGCAATGAGTGGAAACTGCCCACGCCTGGTATATTTACAGTTCACTTACAGCTACTGTGCAGTGAAGATGCATCTGTAGTAACTCAGAGCAACTGAATTCTTATTTTAATCAAGCACTGCAAGAAAAGTGAGTGTTGTTCATTTGTCCCCATACAATGAAATGACAGATTCATTCAGCTAAAATTCTTTTGGGTCTGGTAGCTGCTTCTGATGGAGCCAGAATAAGCTGCACCTTCCCTGGTGTCTAGTGTCACTGAGCTGCCACAGTATGAGTGAGAACCCCTCTGCTGTCAGGTAACCAGAGGTCTGGCGTGCTCCATCTACTTTCCTCACACTGCTTGCTTATGTATTTTTGATGACTGCAGTAGCTCTGTAAATCACCTGGAAACGCTTTCTATGAGACCACTGCTACTGTGGAAAAACACAGTAGCTTTGATGTGAAAAGTGCAGTCCTGAGCCTGACTTAATGTATGGCCAGTCTTGATACCTTAAACCATGTCCCCCAAAATACTTGTCTCTGGCAGTACAGCAGTCCCTTTCCCTCCAGAAAATGCTGTAATGCTTCTTGTTCTTTGTGAGTTTTGGTATCACAAATGATGTATTACTACAGGAAGGCAGCAAACCACCTGACCCCAGCTGGACTCCTGCCCACTACTCTCTTCAGACCTTGTATAACCTCCACTTACCTCTTCACTTGAATTATGCAAACTTTTGTTTTTAGGATACATCAGAGCACTGGACTCGAGGTAGGTCAGGTAGCTCTCAACCTCTGCCAGCGCATTAGCAGTGAACCCCCTGTTGAACACCATGCCTGGTATTTAGGGACATGATGTGACCTTGCCTTCTGCTGTCCTTCTCCACAGATCTCTGTTGCCCTGTCCTCTGCAACAGGAACATCCCTGCTCTGACTGGGGAAGAAGATACAGAGGTGGAGGCTGCATACGGGAGCCCATATGACACCAGCCACATCTGCTGAGGAGACCAAAGCCTGTCTTCCATGGACACATAGTTCAGTTCTTTGATCTCCCAAATCTCATGGGTTAAATCCTCAGACTCTCAGATAGTCTCAGTAAGCTTCAGAGAACCACTGCTTTCTACAGAGTCCCACTGTAACAACTCCCATAGGATGTGGTAAGTAGGTTGTCTTCTTTCCTCAGGCTGAGCTATTGTCTCACAGCAACAATATAAGCACAACATGCCCAGGTCAAGCCAGCTGCTTTGCTTAGAGGAGTAACTAATAGAAAGAGAAGGGAGACATTTTAAATTAGAAATGCTCTTGCCAGTTGTCAAAGTCAGGGCTATCTGCAGAGGCTGATCTGCATCAAGCTTTGTATTTCAAACAAGAAAGTTAAACGGAAGGCCACTTTCAGCTCTAGCTTTTTCCTTCTCCATGTTAAAGTTTATGTTGGATCCAAACAACAAATAAGCAAACAAGCAGGGAAAACCAAACCTCTCCTTGATTACCATGTTAGAATAATGCACCTCATATGTGCACAGCACTGTTAGAACACAAGTCCTCCCTGTGCCCCATCTGCCTGCACCGCTCTTGTTCCCAGCACAGAGCCACAGCCCCCAAAACCCACCCTGCCCAACAGAAGGAGCCAAAAGCCGGTCTGCAGGACAGCTCTGGAAACACAAATGATGAGGAGGCCCCACCAGAGATAAAGGAGAGATGAGCAAAAGTATTTCTCTGGCTGATACCAGGTGTTACGACCATCACATGGACATTTCTGTACTTAAATGGTGTATTTTTCACTATGAATCCCTTTAATGAACTATTATGGACTGAACTACAACAATCTCAACCATACCTGAATTTGAACTGAACAGAAGCTGTACTCGTTTAGTACTTTCCTTCAAATAACTTCAATAACACAAGGGCATTATTGAAGTGGGATCTGATTTGCATCTTGGTTCACTGTAAATAAAATTTTTCAGTATTATCTATAAGCAAGACCAAAATGCAAAGCAGCTCTGAATCATGGCTGCTACTGTCCTCATCTCACCCCTGTCTCCAGGGTGCTGCAGAATCTGCCTCCGGTGTGCGAATGAACACGCAGTGAATGCCTCACGGCACTTTGGCACAGCCCACGGCTTGTCTCGGGAGGAAGCTATGCTAAAGTGAACTTGTCAGTCACTTGCTGAGCTGGAAGAGAGAATCCAAGCCAGATTTGAAACCAGGTTTGTACACACATGCATGAGCTGGCCTCGTTTTCCAAGAGGTTTGCAATTCTGAGCATAAGAACAGCAGCAATAGTCAGCAAATACTCATCTCTGGAGTAAATTGGCTATTGCTTAGATTAAAAACAAATATCTGCAGCCTGTTCCGAGTCAGATGGAAGAGCCATGGAATCAAATACAGCAGTATCTTAAAGGGAGCTGTGATTCATGCCGGCATCGCATACTGCCTGCAAAATTGTGCCGTAAACCCTACACAAAGGGACTTGGAGCATTCTGTCTCATTTCCATCTTCAACAGAGAACAGCTCAGAAGTGAAGAGAGGCAGGGAAGAAAGCTAACCAGACTGCAGCTGCTTTACAAAAGCAGCAGATAGCCCAGGACTCAAAATTCAAACCCAGAGAGGAAGCTCTTTGCATTTACAGTTTGTAGTGTACCCATTAAGAGCTTTTAATGCAGGTCCCTGACTAAGTAGAATTTGAAATTTTCTAGTTTTTATTCAAGCCTTCCCTGATTTCCTGGTTGGTTTGGTTCAGAGATCAAAGTTTCTGGTGAGATGGTTTAGACTTTGGCACATACTCTGTGTCAGTTGTTGTGTTATTCACTTCATTTATCCATCTTTCACACAGAAGTAGAAGTGAAAGTCTCACCATGCCCTAACTTTCCAGAAAGGAAAGAAACTAAAAAGGTTCATTATATTGATATGCTTCTGGTAGGTCTAGGATGGAGAAGCAGATGGTGTGATACTAGCAGATTATGTCATCCTGGGACTTTTCAGAGCAGGAGTTCCTGGGAAATCCTACCAGAAACATGGGTTTCTGGACAGGAGAGGACCATCCATGTAACCACTAACTTCTACCATCAATTAATATCATACTATAACATTGAAGTTTCTATCACTAACTTTCTCTTTACCTCCTTAACTTTAGACCATTATTTTCCATGGTGTATCACCAAAATCCTTCCAGCATAACTGTGCTGAGCACCTTAACTAACCAGCTCCCTATAGGCTGGAGACAAGACCACCTCTGTGGCTAATCTCAGATATTACTCTCTTTGAGCAGCCAACACACTAAGCAATATTCCATTTATCACCCTAGTACAGACTGGATATTCCACTCCACCACATCCATTCACTGCTGAACAGACACTAACCCACCCTTTCTTATGATCCGTTTAAACACATAGAAAAGAAATCCACTGGGA